GGGGGCTGACAGATTTGTGGGGTCCCTCGGACCCTTGCAGGGATGCCCTGTGGGGAAACCGGGGGCACACACCCAGGAGAGGCTCTGGGGCAGCAGAACTCCCTGCTCCCAGCACTGGCCCCTGGATCAGGCCACAGGGCAAGTAGAAGCCACGTGTCCTCCCTATCCTGCCTCCGCTGCAGCGGGACATGGGAATGAATGAGAGAAAAACACTCAGTTGTCGAAACTGTGCAGGCATGGAGCAGCCCAGGCTTCCTGCTACAGGGACATGTTGGCCCATGTGCCCAGCCTTCATCTACCGCTGAGGAAACTGAGGCAGGGCAGTTAGTGTCATCGTGTGGGCAGGTTGCTCCCTGGGACAGGGCTCTGACTGGCATGGCCCCGTCTCTTAGGCAGGGCAACCGATGGCAGGACAGGAGGAGAAAGCCTCCTCTGCCATGCCTGCACTGGGGTCCCATGAAGGGATGCTTTGGGTCTAAGGGCACCCACACAGTGGGTGTGCCCCCCCCCCTCCCCGCCCCAGGTTGCTGGCCAGGACCCCAGCCCCTGCTCTGGTCCATGATGGCTCCTTCTCCAAGAGTGAGGAAACAGGGCGGATAACTACAACAGCTGCCTCTGTATATAATGTGGGGAGTAAAGTCATTGTCCCCTGACACACAGCTGTGGAGCAAGGCAGGAATTTTGGGAGCCCCACCCCTCCCCATTGCACCGGGTCTCCCTGGGAGGGAGCATCTGGCTCCAATCAGCTGTACCTTGGAAGGGGCTCAGTGGCTGCACAGCCAGGCTGGAGTCATGACCGCAGGGAGACATTGGACTTGGCAGGGACTTGGCAGGATGCTGGAGCAGAGCCAGGCTGCTGTGCTTGATCCCCCCCCATGATGGAGATGTTTAGGGCATCTGGCACAGCCGTGGTCCCACCGTCCTTCTGGGAAGGAGCCGGAATGGTGCAGCAGAGGCTCCCTGCCGCTGCCCTGCTGCACCCCACAGAGGGGAGGACAGTCCTGGTCCCTTGCCACCTGGGAGTGGATCTTTGCTCCACTGTGCCTCAAGGGCCAGCGGAAAACGACTCTCCCATGGTCACAGCCAGGAAGGAGCACTGAGCACGTGCCAGGTAACGCTGCTAAGGCAGGAAGCCAAGAGGAGAAGAATACGGGCAAGCTGGAGCCTGGGATACAGGCCGGGCTGCAGCAACAAGGCACAGGGATGGTCTGGGGCAGGAGAACCCTCGCAACAAGGGACCAAGGGGATGAGCAAGAGATACTGGGTGCCAGTTCACAGGTCTGATATGCACCAGACACCTCCTTAGCCTAGACAGCCCTGCACAGCCCAGCTCTCCATCCCAGTGAGGACCAGCCCCAGGACCTGTTTACCTCCCAGGGATTTGCACTGGCAAGAGCAGGGCAGAGGGTGCAGCGCATGTGGACTGACAATGTGCTGGGCACTAGAGCTGCTGCAAACCGCCCAGGGCAGCGAGGACCAGCAATGGGCAGAGCAGTTTCTGACTGTGCAACTGGGAAGAAAAGCAAAAAGCACAAAATGTACAGGCTGGGCGCCCAAGATGCGGCTGTTCCCGTGGCACTTGGGATAACTGCTCTGCTGGGAGAGCAGCCCTTCTCAAAGGGGGTAGCTGGGCATGCAGCCCAGCCTCCAAGGGCACAAGAAGGGCATGGAGCTGGGCAGGAGAGGAGAAACTACAAACAGACCTGAGTAACTGGATCCTTCCCAAACTGCATGGCTGAGGACACAGAGATGAGATCCTGCAGTCCCCAGGGCAACTCGAAGGCCAAACATGTCTCCAGGTTTAGCCCAGGCAAGGGCCACGCACACCCTGTTCCCCAATCACCAGGCTCCCCTTGTGCAGCCTGTGATAAATGCCCGGTGACACGAGTGTTGGCTCCGTGGTGTCGCACCTTGGTTTGACAACCTGCAGCTAGGGACTGAGTTGAGGTGGGTCAGAAGAGCTGCCCTGGCTGGGGACATCACAGACCTGCTCCAGCAGTCCCGTGTGGACTGCAGCTTCACACAGCAGTATCCAGATGTGATCTGAGCCCTGGAGGCATGTTCACAGATCTGTGCAAACCCAAACCCAGTGGAAACAGAACCTAAAAAGAAGGGAAGGCATTCACCCACGTGCATCACTCACAGATCTCACCACAAAATCAGGTCTTGTGGCTCCCGGACCAACACTGGAGTGGTGCCAGCACCAACAGTTAAGGGTGCTGAAGTGGCACAGTCCAGACACACAGGTGAGGGTCAGGCATGGGCCAGACCCATCAGGGACCCCAAAGCAGTGTGGCCCTGGCCCCAGCAGGTCCACTGTGCTTCTGGAACTCCCCCACCAGCCCAGCAGCAGTCCCACAGGAACCAGGCCCTGGGGCCAGTGCTGCTGGGCCACAGCCAGCACATTCCCCTGGGCCAGGGCAGTGGCAGCCATGGGGCAGAGGGAGAGCTGCCCTGGCTCTGCACGGAGTAGGGACAATGATCCTCTCTTTCCTCTGAAAGACTTCACAGGCTCTGCATCCAAGAAAAAGCATGAACTGAGGGCAGTGATGGACCTCCTCCTTGCCCTGCCAGGGACTCGTGGCTGCCCTGAGCACCACTTGAAAGAGGCCGCAGCAAAAATTCCTCTCCCAGCTGTGGGGGACTTGGCTCAGATCTCCCTCCTGGCTCCATTGCCAGTAGGAAAGGCTCAAACCCCGAGGGCTCTGCAAGGTGCAGGGGGTCCTAGCTCATCCCAGTCTGGCTGCGCTGAGGGGCACAGGAAGTTGCCTCTGGCCAGCAGAGAGCCCTGGTTCGCCCCTTGCGGTTGCTGCCACCCTGGGCACAGGGCAGATGGACGTGTGCTGCAGTGCACCATGCCGGAGAGCGGCCCTCCAGCTGCCCCTGCGGGAAGGAGTCACAGCAGAGCACCACAGCCACTGCTGCCCACAGCCACAGGGATCAGCTCTGAGGGAGGGGGCTTAAAAAGAAATAAGAGGCTGTGAACTACACCAGCACCACCCGAGAAGTATGAGCCCTCAGCACAGCTTCTGGAGGAGCAGCCAGGTGAAGCTACAAGCAGTGGAAGGGGTGCAGGTGGCTTCATGACCCCACAGCAGCAAGGAGAGACTGAAGGGACCCCAGCCCAAAGAGGATGGGAAAGGGCATGGGAACATGGCCTGGAGCAGAAACCCCTCAATCTCCTTGTGCTCAGGCTGTGATTGTGCAACCTCAGCTCAGCCCACAACCAGGGCGGTCAGGAGCTTCAAGGCTCGCAGCCTTGATGCGCTGATTGAGGCAGAGAGACAGAAGAATAACTTAAATAGTTCACCCCACTTTATTATCCCTACAGACAGGTGACCCTCCTCATAAAGAGGGCTGCTTGTAATTAAACCTCAGGAAAAACAAGCACTGGACACCAGAGGTGGCACCATGAAAGAGATGGCAGGCACCGATGCCCAGGGGACAGCTAACACCCTACTCCTGCAGATAGGGGACATGACTAGCCATGGCCTTGCTCCTCCTCTCCTCCCTCTCCCTGGCACTCTGCTGATCCCCACTTCGGCACAGGGCGGCAGGCACAAGGGTAGAGCAGGAATTCATGCCTTGCAGTGAGCTGCAGGTCAAGGTCAATCTCCAGGAGAGGAGCTGGATGGGACAGACAGCCCTGGACAGATAAAAGCAGGAGTGAGAAAGGAACTGGTCTGCATGGTGCCCAACCCACAGCAGGGCAGATCCAGCGCCTTCTGCTCAATGCTCAGCACATAGTGCCAGGAGAGTGAGAGCACAAAACAATCCCAGTGATAAAGGTCCTAGTCTTAGAGCTACAGAAGGCCTGCGCTACGTGAGGATTCAAAAGGGTCTCCTACGGAAGTACCATAAATACCAAGTACCAAGCCACAGTGGAGTGGAAGACAGCGTTCAGCTCAAGCATGATCACTGAGCTGGGTGGGAAGGAGGTATTCTGAAATGCAGCAGTCGAAGAGGACCCACACTGAGACCACCACCTGGAGAGGAGCACAGTTCTCACTCGGGACGTCACCCCAGGGAGCCAGCATACACCACCATGACACGCAAGGCTGCCATTTCTCCACCAGGATATGTGCAAAGGAAAGAGCCCATCAGCCTCCACTCCATCACCATGTTCAGTTAAATACAAAACCTCCTCCTAAACCCCTCTGTGAAATCAGGCTTGTGGTAGCATCATCATGCTGTAGGACATCACCTCTCCTTTTAAAGTCATCATGAACAAAATAGAAGCCTGGCAGTCACAAGAAAACATTTGCCGGGTCAAGCTAAATAAAGGGATGTAGAGGTGTCTGCCTCAATCTGCAAACAGCCTGAAACAGCAGCTCAGAGGTACAGGCTACCTCATTTGGGTCTATGGCTCATTAACTACAGGAGCCTGAAGACTTGTAAACAGCGACTATGGCATCACTACCGCAAACTGGAAAGAGGGATTACCCCAGGAGGAGCACCAGCTCAGGCACTGCTCTGGCCCAGTAGAGTGTCAGTGGCAGCAGAGAGGAGCCAGACATGTCCCAGTAGAATTTCAGTCGTGTCCTCCGACAGCGGGACAAGCAGTGGACAGGTCACCTTTCAACAGCCAGGCTTGCCTGGAGATGCCAGCTGGAGTGTTGAAGATGCATCATCTTTTTCTGAGAGCAGCCAAAATTCAGCCTAAGTCAAGCCAAGGGGGCTTGTGCAGGAAGCACAGGCAGCGGCTGGTTCCCCCAGCACACTGGGGATCACAGGGCTGAGGGTACAGTCCCTGCAGTCCGTTTACAGACAGAAAAGGAGCAGCTTGATAGCAGCACAGCTGGAAAGCCCAGCAGCAGAGCAGCAGGGATGCTCCCCAGGCGGGGTCAGGGAAGTACCTTCCTGGTTTTCTCCTCCAGAGATGCTACCGGCACCTCCAGACCTTGAGCTGTGACACCTGGAGCAGTGGGTGCAACGGGTTTTGGGCAAGAGTCCCATGAAACCCCTGGAAAGCTTGAGGTTGGAGAGCTGGGGGGTGGGCACTAGATGAAGGTGGAGTCCAGCTGGCTCGTTTCATGGTTATTGTGGGCCCGAGCCTCAAAGAGCTGCTTAATCAGGGCAGATTTCTCCTGCTCCAACTGGGTGATGCGTTCGCTCTTGTCGGTCACCTCCTGCACGAGACGGAGGAAGAAAATGCTGCTCAGAGGAGGAAAACACCAGCGTTTGCTGCACTGCAGGCGATGGGATGTGAACCCCAGCAGTGAGCCCAGCCCTGACAGGGGCATCAGGGTTGCCCCTTCCCCAGCAGCCCTGCTCACAGTCCCCAGCCACACCCTCTCGTGACCTGCATCTGCCGCAGCGCTTTCCCTCCGGCTGGAATGCCCCATCCCTGCCCACAGACCTGCACACAGCAAACTTCTGGACACCGCTGCGTGACAGGGGGTCTCCAAGTGCAGCCCACACGTTCTTCTCTGGAACGGCCAAGGCTGGCCTTGTATTCCTTCCCCAGCCCCATCTAAACCCTCCTCCTCTCCCAGCCCCCCCACAAGGGGATCTCCTCCCCTGTCACCCCCACTCACCTTGGTGAGAAGGCGGTTTTGCTCCTTCAGCATGTTGATGGCTTGCTGGGAGCCTGCTGAGGCGGAGGACGCCATGGGGACCAGCCTGCTCAGAGCTGAGGAGGGGTTCGCTGGCTGCAGAGAAGATTAAGGGCTGACACAGTGAGCCTCCTTTCTGGTGGCTCTCTCCAGCCTTTCCCAAGGCCAGAAGCTGTTTCTGTGGCACATGGGGAACGGAGAACTCCAGCCCAGGATTAAGACCCCAGCAC